TGTGTTATTTGTTTTATTCCTACGAGTTTGAAATATTTCTTTGTGCAGGAGATGATCTTATTCATTTTCAACAGTTCTTAGTTTAGGAAGAGCTTTTAAATATCAAGAATGTTTGTTGGGTTCAGCTGGCTGTCTTTTCAGCCTCTAGTGAGATGGTCAAATGATATTTACTTGACTTGTGGATATGAGGCACCTATAATTGTAAGTTTCAAAGCAGAGTAGTTAAATGTTTTATGGGCAAGAGGAATGATTCCAATGTGAGGATTTTCAAAACATGTTTAGAGGGATGCCTGGTTAGAACAGAGGGTGTGTCTAAGGGGGTGTGACGGTCAGCTTTAGAAATAGGCTGAAGTCTTTGTGGGGTATTGTACCCAGGTTGGAGTATTGTACCTCTTTAGTTGGAGCTTTACTGTACAGGCAAGACAGAACTACCGCAGAACTTTGAGTAAAAGTTAACTTAGAATTTAATAAGGTTAATATGATGGTGTGGTGGAGGAAGCAGAAAACAACAGCAAAGAGTACCCAGGAGTGAGATAAAAATAGCCATTTACTATAATGACCCTAATCCTATATAATAAAAGCCTAATATGCAAATTGTCCCCTCAGGCGGTTGGTTGTTCCACTGAGAATTCAACTGGGAGTTCGACCCCTCACTATGATGTGCGCTGACCACCAGCGGGCGGTGCGGAACATGGCGGGTGTCAGCGATGTGGCACTGGCAGCCAGCGGCAGTGGAGGTGATGCTGGCCCCAACAAGAAGGGGAACCACGGTGGGATGGTGGAGCAGGTGAGCTGGTGGCACTAGGCCAAGGCGGGGTGCCAGGTGGGGCTGTGAGGCTGGGAGGCTGGGGGCGCAAGCTGGGGCCTGATCTCCGCAGGCCACCCCGAGGGTCCCCACCTGTGCACGAGTTCATGCACTGGGCCTCTAGTAAGGAAGATAAGAAGGAAAGTAGCTAAACAAACAAATGTGAATCTCTGATGAGTTGAGATTCAGGAAGAAGGGCACCTATTCAAGCATAAATACTAATATGTCACAGACTTGGAGGACTGTGTCAGAGGGCTAAAATGTAAAATACCTTTTGGGTTTCAAATAATGTCTAAGTTATGTGAAGCTAATTAGGAAACCAGGAATACAAATATACTATAAGGGGACTTCTGTCTGGGCAAGTGACATACTATTGATAGATGGCAAAGAGAAAGCACACATCATCAACTTTTATTTTGATTCCAAATGACAATGTCAATGAGAGTGATTTTTAGACTGAAGGTGGGGTGTAGAGTGGAACAAATATGACAACTGAAGACAGATCACAATGGGTGAAATCATAGTAAAGCATCTATCTATTCTGGGTGAATTATACTCCAAAAAAAGAGAGAACTTTTAATTATACCTCTGAATGTCTATTGCTGACCTTAGAGAAAAGTTGGAGAATGTAAATGTTGCTTTTCTTAAAAAAGTATGTATGTATGTGTGTATATGTGTGTGTATTGCAAAGGAAATTCCAAATTACAAAAATGTGGATTTCACAAACTGAAAATCCATGATCTTAATGTCGTTTTGGGGTAAGATCCTAGAATAGCATTCAAAAGGGGTGACTTATAGGCTCCTAGAAGGATCACTAGAACTCTATATGAGTCATGTAAAAAATGACTGACCACATTTTCTTCATTGATTGACATGACTGACTTAGATAAAAGAGCACTGTTAAATGTAAGCAAGGCTAGGAGGAAATGAACAAGGGATGTTAAGCCTGGAAGGAAGAAGGCTTAGGGAGACAACAATGGCTGATATCAAGTATGAGAAGGACCATTACATGGAAGAGGAATCAGGTATCTGTGGGCTTCTCGAAGGATAACGGGATACCATTCAGTATAAGGAAGAGCTTCCTAACCACTTACAGAGCAGGGTGCTTGTCCAGAGAGGGATTTCCCCATCCTTGCAAAGTAGGCAAGCAGAGCCTGGTCAGTTACTTCTTGGGAAATGTTCTAGGAGAGATTAATGCATTCTCGTGTGGCTGACTCTTACATACGTTCTGATTTTGAGATTCTGTAATCCTACAGCAGTGTGGGTGCAAATGGGAAGGACTAGGTTGGAAATACAGAGATAGTGTAGCTAACAGGATGGAAGAAATTGGAAGAAGACAGAAGAAAGGTAAATCACTCAATTAAGAAAAGAAAGTCATATAGTCATATAGTCTAAGAAGAATTCACCATCTTTTTAGCCCCAAAGACCAGGGTCATCCACAAATGGGCTGTCCAAGAAAATTGCACTCCAAAGCAGGTCTCAAATCAACATGTTGCATAGGCTTTTGGGGAGGTCATCAAGGACAAAACTTTTAAAATAGAATTTCAATGATGATCAGAAAAGAGGAGGACAGTGGGGTCCTTTCCCCAGCAGGGCCAAATCACAGGACTACTGGGTGGGGAGTGCTGGGCCAGGCACATGCTTGGAAGCAGGCCTAAGGCCCAGGCCAGGAGAAAGTTAAAAAACAGGAATAAGAAAGGAGGAAATAATGTAAGAGGAAGGAAAGATAAAGGCAGATTTAACAGGCATAAATATTGTGAATGGGCAACTTCCTGGGCTTCCAGGGGTCTCTGTGGCACCTCTTTCATCTGATTCTCAGGGGAGAAGAGTCACAAATCAGGAGATTGAGGCTCTAATGCTGGCTGTGCCCCAGTTTCCCGAGTGACCTTGTCAATGCCATTTCACCTTTCTGCCTCCTCCCTACTGTCAAATGCAGGCATTCCGTTAGCCTAAAAGTGCTCCGGGCTTTACAGAAAAGAATAGCTCCAGAAATTTATGACATTGTCTGCGTGTGTGCTGAGTGTTTGCCCTTGTTTCCATATTTTCACTGTTGGGGGAGGGAGAACTGGTAAGAGGAGGGTGGAAAGAAAGGTGAGAAGCCATTGGGGCCAAAGTCTCTTGGCTCCGCCTCATCAGCCTAGGGAACCCAGGGGACCGGGAGCTGGCAAAGGACACAGTCCCTGCCCAGCCAGGCATCCGAGATCCCAGCAGACATCCTCAGTTTCTGCTGTCCTTTCAGCAAATCCCATTGAAGCATCAAGGGAGGAAAAGTGAGGCACGCCCCTCCCCCACTAGATGGCACTGAAACGCCTCGTAGGCGATTTTCAAAACGCAGGAAGGAGAAAAAAGAAAAAAAAATATGGTGGAGGTGCGCTCATTTTGGCTTGCAGGCCCCATTGTGCAAAAAATTGCTGGACATTCTCTTTTTTCTTGGGGCAGTTCTTCACGCAGCCATGTGGGCCCTCGACTTTGGAGTGAGGGTGAAAATGAGGGGTGAGCATTAGAGTGAAAAATCTAGGGTTTCAACCTGGGAGGGAGGCTCCCGGCCTTTGCGGCGCTGTCTCACGTGAGTGGGGAAGTGCGATTAAGTGGGACTCGCCTGCGGCCCACCCGCTCAAGGTCTGGGGTCCCGCACTACCTCCCAGAGCCTCGGCAGAGCCTAAATTCGTTGCCATCCAGATAAGGACAAATCCCACACCCACGTTGCATTGAACCCCACTCCCCTACTCAAAGCTCAAACCCTCGAGCGTTTTCAAAATATCTGTTAAGCACCCTCTCAATTAAAATTCTCTTCTTCTTGTCTTGAAGGGACCAATTTTCTTTCTTTTTTTCCTTCTGAGGAGGGAGGTGGAGGTGGGTGTGTGTCGGGGAGTCTGGTGCCAGCGTGGGGCTGGCGGTGATAACCGGCCGACGCGGTCAGCCTCTGGAGCAAACGTCTATAGCTACCAAGACAGCACCGGTGGCTTTCTGGGGGAAACAAAGATCAAATAGGATCCAAGACATCAGCGACACAAACCGGGGACGCAGCGAACTTCTTTAGTCTCCCAGAATGCCCACTCCGCAATAAGCAGTCTTTTCTTTAAAGAACCGTGGCCGATTTGAGGGAGTTTCCCACCACTGGGGAGAGAGAAACGGGAGAGATGGAGGCTACATTCCTAAATTTATAATAATGCATGCAAACATGCTACATACCACATATATGTATATGTGCATAAATATGGATGTGATTAGGCACATACCTATCTCAACACCATTGACTTGCCTGGTCAAAGAATAAGGCTTAGACATTTCGTGCCTGGGAAATGGTGCAGTTTATCTTTAAGGAGGCTAGAAAAATAAGAGATGAGGCTCACGTTGCACGGATGACATCACTAGCTTAGGGCTGCACGCTCCGTGTTCTCGTCTGTGGGTTTTAGCCAAGGCTGCAGCGCCCGGCGTCCGAGAGAGCGAGCGCAGCAGTGGCTTCCTCCAGCTCCCGCACCCGGGCCAGGCAGTTTCCCCAGCCCT